GCTGGGAATGAGGGCCAAGGAGAGAGAGAAAGTTCTGTTGGTTGGGTTGCCAAGAGGAGTCTGAAATTGGGTGTACAAAGTTGGAGTGTATGTGAACACTGAAGAGTGCAGAAATCGGCTTTTAGGAATAATTGCTTTGGCTTAGGATCTGAAACCTTTTTTTTAAAAAAACCATGTTTTTTGTTCTGGATGGTTTGGCCCAGTGGTTAGAGCGTCGGCCTGCAGTCCAGAGAGACCTGGGTTTGGTTCCCGCTAAGGGCATGTACCACGGTTGCAGTTTGTCCCTGGCCCTGGTTGGGTTGTGCAGGAGGCAGTCACTCAATGTGTCCCTTTCACATCGATGTTTTTCTCTCTCTCTTTCTCTCTTCCTCTCTATCCCTCCCACTCTATCTGCTCAAAAAATGGAAAAATGTCCTCAGGTGAGGATAAAAAAACAAAACAAAACATGTTTTTACTGACTTTTTTGAGAGAGAAAAGGAGAGAGAGATAAAACATCAATGTGAGAGAGATACATTAATTGGCTGCCTCCTGCATGCCTCCCACTGGGGATTGAACCCGCAACCTGGGCATGTGCCCTGACTGTGAATAAAACCAAGACCTCTCATTCCCTGGGACGAAGCTCAATCCACTAAGCCACATCAGATGGGCTGGAGCCTTTAATTTAACCTAAAAGACACAGGATTGGAATTTCTATCATTATTTGGTGGCTAAAATAAAAAGAAAATGTAACTTATGGGAGACTGGCCCAAGTGGATGTACAGAATTGGTAAATGATATATGTTCTGCTTTCTGTCCATAGGAGTCACTGTCTCCCCATGGATTATTTTTTCTATAATTTTCTCTTTGCTTCCTTAGAAAGCACACCGGCCTCACCATATACCCTATAGCTCACCTCCACCTTGGCTCCAAGGCATCATGTGCCAGACACTGTATTGTACACTTGAAGTTTGTTAAGTGGCTACATCTCATGTTCTTATCTCACACACACGCACACTTACGGTACCTATGTGAGGTGATAGACATGAATTAACTTATTGTGGTTATTATTTCACAGTGTATATCAAATCATCAAGTTGTACAACTTACATGTATACAATTTTAAAGGGTCAATTATACCTCAATAAAGCGGGGGGAGAAGCTTCTGGTGTAACAGGAAAGCCTGCAGACTACCTCGCGAATTACTATATGATCTGTTGCCCTGGCTGGTTTGGCTCAGTGGTTAGACAATTGACCTGTGGACCAGAGTCCCGGGTTCAATTCCAGCTAAGGCACATACCTTGGTAGTGGTTCATCTCCAGTCCCGGTTGGGGTCGTGCAGGAGGCAACAAATTGATGTGAGAGAGACACATCGATGTCTCTCTCTCTCTCTCTTTTCTTCCCTGCTGCTCTATTTGAAGATAAACAGAAAAATATCCTCGGGTGAGGATTAAAAAAAATATATCTGTCAACATGTGCTATGACTATTTATGGTTTTATTTCTGCAAATAATCTCTGAGCATCTTGAGGCTAGGGACTGTCTTATCCTTTCTTCATGTTCTCCGGGGGCGGGGAGGGGGGAGGGGGGAGTCCGGGAATGTCCAATAAGGAAAAATATTGGTTTTCATAATTAAGACTGATTCATTTGCAAATTCTTTCCTGTACTTGGCTCTCCTCATTGTATGTAAAAAGGATGTGGGTAAAGAAGGGAATCTACATCCCCAAAACAAAATTTAAATTCTCTTTTTGGCCTGGCTAGTGTGGCTCACTGGTTGAGTATCTATCGACACATGCCCAAGTTGTGGGCCCAATCCCCAGTGCGGGGCATGCAGAAGGCGGCCAATCAATGTTCTCTCTCATTAATGTTTCTATCTCTCTCTCCCTCTCCTTTTCTCTCTCTCTAAAATCAATATAGAATAAATATTAAAATAAATAAAATAAATAAATTCCTTCTTTGTAGCCTATACTGGGTTGGTAGGTTTCCCTCCCAGGATTCTGTCTACTTGGAATTTCAGAATGTGATGTTATTTGGAAACTCATTTACTGTAAATGTAATTAGTTGAAATGAGGTCATACTGGATAAGGGTTGGCCCTAAATTCAATGACTAGTGTTCTTATAAGAAGACCACATGGCCCTGGCTGGTTTGGCTCAGCAGTTGGAGCGTTGGCCTGTGGATTAGAGAGTCCTAGGTTCGGTTCCTGCCAGGGGCATGTACCAAAAAAAAAAAAAAAAGACCACATGAAGATATGGAGAGACAGCACAGATGAGTCAGAAGAACATGTGAAGACAGAGACAGAGACTAAACTCGTGTAGCCTCAAGCCGAGGGAGGCCTACGAGGCCAATATCCACCAGAAGCTGGGAAGAGTCAAGAAAGGATTCTTCTTTAGAATCTTCAGAGATGATATAGCCATGCCAATACCTTGATCCTGGGCTTCAAGCCTCCAGAACTGTGAGAAAATAAATTTCTGTAGTTTTAATTAACCTAGTTTATGGTGATTTGTTAGGGTAGACCCAGGAAACCAATACATAGCCAACACTTGAAACCTCCGTGTTGGATTCTGGAAAAATAATTGTATGGCACAGATGGTGAGGGAGGACTGGGTTCGATTCTGTCCCTGGATCTGCTTTTTCTTTGCATCTGTGGATACCTGTTCTGGTGTCTACTGCCACCCTGTGCTGGCTTCATGTGGATGGGGTTTAGGGGTTAGGGGTGCTGCCCGTCTTCAGTCTTTCCCCAAGGGTCACACACTCCTTCTCTTCATGTGCTGGGACCTAGCTAACACAATGTCAGAATACTTGAGCCAGCTGATAAATTGCCAACCACGTTACATACAAAATCTCGTATGTTACCCTATCTAATCCTAAAACCTGAATGATGAGGTATCAGTGAGAGTTCCAATATCATTCAGAATTTTTGGTTTCCAGTAACAGACATTAGTTATGTACATTTTTAAGCTGAAGGAGAATGTACTAGGAAGCTCTCTGGGCCTCAGAGAACAGGCTTGAAATATAGCCATAAACGAAGGAGCCCCGAAGGCCCACACTGCTGGATTGTGGTTCTGAAATCATCTGCTGCATTAGTACAAAGCAGTGCTCCAATGGCACCGATGTAGTGAGGTCATTCATTCAAGTTCAGTTCCTGAGGAAAGACACCTACTTTGCTAAGCCTAAACCATGAACCTTTCCCATGGCTGCTCTGGGATATGGGGAGCAAAGATTGGCTCCTTTGGCATCCTCAGGGGGTGCAGGGGGTGGGGTGGCCACTACCTCTGAGGTTACATGCAAGGAGTCAAAATTGTTATGTGTGATAATTTAGCACTTATTTATTTAACATTGGAGTGAGTTTTCAGCAAGAATGACTTTGAATGTTCTAGTCTTATCTAAGCTACACTGAAGGAAATCAAAGGCCGTTTCATGTATCTCTTCTTGCACCTCATTGTCCAAGTTAGAGCAACAGGAACACAAGAAAAAGGTAAGGGTTTGTAGTATATTTTTGGGGTTGTGGACCCTTTTGACACCTGGTGAAAGCATGCTGTTTCCCTTCCCCTCGTTGGCTCTACGTATTTTCTCTTCTTATTTAATCTCATTGCATTGATATTACTTTTATAAGCCTTTGCACCCCTTCTCCCATTCTTCTGGTGAGGAGGTAGACTGAAGTGAGCAAATACAGGTACCTGACATCATAGAACCTCTCTGGCCACAATCCCAAATGGATACTCTAGGAGGATAGCCCTGTGGACTGGTGATGATGAGGTTTAGTTTTCTTTTTGTTGTTGGAATGTTGAGGATTAGAGGTATGCAGGGTTCTGAGCAGGCAGGTCTTCCAGAAAAACGGAGCCCTGCTTAGAATTCCACCACAGATATTCAGATGTGTTTCCTTCAGGCACATCCCGAGAGAAGAAAAAACCCCAAACTCAGCTGCTGGTCTTTTTTTCTGAGAAGTTAATGACAAGGGCCTTGATAAAGATCTGTGGCCTCTGCCTCTGGGTGTCGGGGGGTGGGGTGGGTGGGGGTGTGAGGAGGTGCTGTTGGAACAATGGTAACAATGCTGCAGACAACCGGACATTTAAAAAAAAATTTTTTTCTTTATTGATCTTAGAGAGAGAGGAAGGGAGAGGGAGAGAGAGACAGAAATATCGATGAGAGAGAACATCAATTGGCTGCCTCCTGCATGCCCCCCACTGGGGATCAGGCCTACAATCTTAGCGTGTGCCCTGACTGGGAATTGAATCTGTAACCTCTTGGTGTATGGGTTGACGCTCAACCACTGAGCCACACCAGCTGGGTCAACTGGATGTTTTGTGTGGTTCATTGCTACTACAATAGTGAGGTAATCCTTGGCTTGGATTATTGGGGCCCCTGAGTAGAGTCACAAATGCAATTTAGGCACTAGGAGCATTATAGCTTTAGGCCATAAGAAGAGTTTTGAGGGGCCTAGTGTTTAATGGATCTATTGGATTCTTGACTCCTCATTGGACTGCAATCTACAACCACTGCAAACTACAACCAATACTTTCAGCTAGATTCTCGTACTTCATAATTGAGAGGTGATCTGGCTCAACAGAGAGGACACTGAATCAAGATTATGCGGGTTCAAACCTAGTGCTAACTCTTACCACTGTGTGACCTTGGAAAGTGTCTTTATCTGCAAAATGGGAGCAATAAGAAATAATAAATTTTATTGTGAAAATGAAGTGATTTAACTATGCAAGCTACTTAAAAGTGTGACTGCCACATAGTAAGCTATTGCTATTAGTCGCAGCTGATGTTATATTCTTGAGCCTGTAGTCATGTATGTATTAACCAATTGGATTTGAACTTGAAATAGGAATTAGTGATGGAGATGGGAGGGTAGAAGAAAAGAATAGGAGATGCCTTTCACTGCAGTGCACCTTTACAAAATACTTCTGAAATTTTGCCAATAAATTGGTCAGAGTCTGGCCCCCACTAGCTACCCATGGCTCATTGAAGATGCTTACATATAAATTGAGAATTTTGTCCTTTTAGCAATCACATATCCTTTTAATTGGACCCAGAAACCTCATAGGCCTGGGGGGGTATGAATTCCTTCAATGGTTTGCAACAAGACATTATGCTGTGACAGTATGCCAACCACTCCCATCCTGATTTACAACCAAAGAAACACCTGCCACCAAGTACAGAGCAGCTGCGAACTTCTACTCCATCGTTTCCAAACAAGCCATTCCCTGAAGGAAGAAAAACAAAACAAAAACACGCACTTACACACACAAAGAAGAATCAGTCTCCGAGAAGCTAGGAGAAGCCCTAGGTCTGTCCTCTTTTCCTGGTGGATGCTTTATTACTTCGTGGCTTAATTTCTGGACTCTGCCCTCTCATCTTCTACCCTATTTCATGAGGGCCTTCGAGTCTGAGGCTAATCCGAGGAAGTCGAGGGGAAACAGGAATTCGGAAAGCTGAACAGCAATATGCACCATGTGAAATTGGCTCCCTCTCTCTCGCTTGGGCAGATCTTCAGGATGTAGCCACAGATGGAAAGAGCAGGGACTGAAGACCGCTAACCCAATCCCATCCCCAGCCTGAGGGTCCATCTGATGTTGGTGGCCCCCGCTAGGCTTATCTCCATAGGGGTTTTAAGTACCACAGTCCCCGGAAAAAACCCACTTTCATGGTCAGAACAGTACTCGTGATCTTACCTGAAGGCAATGAGATCACCAGGAGGAAGAGGAACCCAGGGAGACAGCGCCTCATGGCTGAGGGCACAGGGCTGGAAGTTCCTGAGGGTGGCTGCTTGTGAGGCTCCTTTATAGAGCTGGGTGAGCCTGGGTGGGGCTTCCCTCATGCTACCTGGAAGAGCACCCAGGGGAGACAGGCTTATTCAGGGTTAGACAACAGAGTCCGTGGGTCATTTCATCCTTTCTCTTCTACAAATCGTGGAACAAGGGACTCGGTCAAGGCAGAACAGGGGCAGAGACCTGGTGTTGTCATGCGCAGATCCGAACCCTTTCCCTCTAACTTCAAAGATATACCAATGGAAGAATGGAGGGAAAGGGTCAACTTTATTTCTCCTTTCCTTCTGAGTGCCACCGAGAGCACAGGAGCCCAGAGACATGATGTTGTAAGACACAGGCTTCATTTAGGGCCAGAAAGGATGTGAGCAAGAACTTGCTGTGTTGCGAGAAACAAAGGGATGATGGTGTCGGCTCTTGGCCTGACCAAGAATTAGGTAGGTGCTCAGACATAGCAGAGAAAGAATGGCCTTCTCTGTGGGTGACAGATTTAGTCACCTGGCTGGAGGCACATGCGACAGGAACTCTTTCCCCAGAAAAGTTCACCAAGGGGCTGTCTTTTTCAAGTGGCTCGTAGGAAGCGGTGGCTAGAATTTGGGAAATTTGAGGGTTCTGAGAAAAGTTATTGTTTTGGAGGGGGTGGGATGGAACTTTCTCTTGGCTCTCACAGGAAGAGCCAGTTCAGTGCTGTGTTCAAGGTTGGATACCCTTTGTCAGGACTGGAACAAGACAGTGCTTCCCTGGAGCTATAGGATGCAGCTCTGGGGAAGGGTCATTAGGTCCCCCCCCCCCTTCAAGTGGTGGTGGGGGACCGAGAATTGAGAAGACACAAACATTGGTTTTATTCTTGTGCCTGGAGGTAGGCTTGTACCCAAGTCACCCATGCCTAGAATTCTGAGTCTGTACAGTGGCAGTAGGGCATGGTTTTATTGGTTATGTTGTTTTGTAGCCACATGCCCTTGGATAAATTATTTAGCATCTCGGAGCTTCTTCAGCTTCCTCTCCTCAAAACGTGCACTGTAGGAGGGTTTCCTGAGGCTGAAATGAGATACAGCTTACAAAATGCATTGAGCTCATCCTGGTATGGATTAGGTTTCTCCTCCTTGTCCTTCATCATTATTATTACATCCCACCACAATAGCTGCGTTGCTTTCTCTTTTACAGGGCCTCACCAAGAGTCTTCTTTGCGAGTGTCAGACATCACTGGGAGAGTTTTTTTCTGAGTTCCAACGCTGTACACGCAGCTGAGAGCACGGCAGTGGGAGTGGGCAGAGATGGTGGGCTAGTGAACTAGAGTCGGTAGGTTGGTACTAAATCGGAGCTGACGATTCCCTTGCATAACCCCAGGGAAGGATTCCAGGAGACCCTGCACTGGGCATGTGATTCCAGCCTGTAGAGCACAGGCCTTCTCCTGGCCATGTGCTACCACAGACATAGCACAGGCCCAGTGCTACCACCTCCTTCTTTTAGAGAGAGAAAAAACAAGGCTCAGATCGGTGAATGGGCTGCATAAAGGAAAGAAGCTGTGGGCTATGCTGCCATCAGCTATTCAGTTCTTGTGATTCTTGATCCGGAACTCTGTCCTCCATATATTTTAAATTGTTCAGTCATGCATTCGGGAACATGGGAGTTCTGAACCCAAAATTTGCCAAATACTTCTGAGCCCCTCTGGGACACAATCCTAAAAAAGCAGATCTAAAATGCAGGTGGACATGGTATGTGTTCAGGATGAACCCTTCCCTTTCCACCCACCCATGTTCCAACCTTTGGGCAGGAACTTCTCCAGTTGTGCCGAGTGTCCCTGTTTCTTGCCTGAGGTCTTTTGGGCCCAAGAAGCACAGATGGTATCATTCTCTTCCCGTTAGTGGTGCTCTGTTGATGTTTTCTCCCTTTATCTTTGTTTCCTAGACTTCTCAGCTCTTTTCATCATGTCAACTATGGAGGTTCAGACCGAGTTACCCCAAGATGTGCCTCTGTGCTATGCAGATTGTTTTGAGCTAAAGGCAGACTTCAGCCATGGACTCAAGAGTAACTTCTGCCCCTCCCTTAACTACCTAGCAGAACTTGAATCAGGAGCCTTGCCCATAATAAGAGATTACCAGAGATAACCTCTTTTGACCTATCTATAGGTTAGGGCAAACTTCTATTCACTAAACGTTGTTATTATTATCCTGCAATGACCTTTTGAAGCCCCCCCCCCCCCCAGGTGTGTTACCTCAGCTCAGGATGTTTTATATACACCTCCATCTTTCTTTCTGTTCTTCTTTCTTTCTTTATTTCTTTCAGTATATTGATTTGAGAGAGTGATAGAGAGAGAGAGAAACATCAATTTGCTGTTCCACTTATTTATGCATTTATTGGTTGATTCTTGTATGTGCCCTGACTGGGCATCCAACCCACAACCTTGGTGTATCAGGACAATACTCTAACCAACTGAACTACCCAATGTCAATGTAAGAAACCTCCAAACCTGTATAAATTTTTATAAGTTTATTTGAGCCAAACTGACAATTGCCAGGAAGCAAAATATCAATGGATTTAGAAAGCGCTCTGTAAAACGGCAGTTTTGCATCTTATTTTATACATCAGAATCAAAGGGCAAGATGTAAGGGGTTACATGAAACTCACTGGGGGTAAATTAGGGAGGTGGGAGAAAGCAAAGCAGGAAATCTCTGGGCTTGGATAAAAAGTAAAAGAAATAGACTTATACTTACATAGGTGGGTATAGGATAGTTAACAGTTGAGAGTTTACATGATAATAATAACAATGAGGAGATTTGTGGTTTCTGCTCTGGTGTGGTAGTTGTGCTTTGAGGGGTCTGGAAATAAAGAAAGTACCTTGAAGCAATTATTTTAAAGGTAGGTTATCAGGTATGTTATCATAAATGGAAAAAAAAAAAGACAATAAACAGGCTCAGTTAAGGTGAAGACTGACCTTTGTTAGAGAAGAATACCACCACCTTAGGACATGACTACCTGCCATGAACTGCTTTTAGTTTAGAAAGTTTTAATTTCAGACCATCCTATGTGCTTACTTTAGGTCTCTGAGTTTGTGAGTCCTCCACGCAGTCCTCCCCTGAGACTATCACACCGGCCAGGGCATCTCCACCCCTCTTTCTATCTCTGAACCTCTTTCATGCATGTGGGGTCTCTGACTCTCTCATGCATGTGGGGTTCCCATACATATGAATGTATTAAATTTGGTTATTCTCTATTGCTAATCTGTCTCATGTCTATTCAATTACTAGACCAACCAGAAAAACCTTGAGGGTCAAGTCAAGTTTCCTCCCCTCCCACACTACCTTCAAGAATAAAGCATCCATAAGACATCCTACACCACACTGTTGTATTACCCTGCTGAAGGAGCAATCTCCTGTTACAGCTGCCTCATTCACTAGTCAGATAGTTCCTGACTTCACTGTTTATTTTTCTCCACGTGCAAGTTTGTTTCCCCCCATAGCTCTTATTTTTAAACTTCTAAAATAAATCATTGATAAAAGAGGAAATTTAATATCCCTCAAGAAAAATAAGCAAATCATATACATAGCTTGGTGACTGAATTGGAGCAATCACTGGGTAACCATCACTTGGGAAAAAAACAGACCTTTCCTGCACCACAGAAGGGCCCAGTGCACCAGTAAGCAACAACAGCCCACTTCCTTCTCCATTACGGGACCACTGCTCTGAGTTTGATAATCTTTTTTTGGCTTCGCTTTATGATTTTTTCCTTAAATACTCATCACTACACAGAGTAGTTTAAGTTATCTATTTTCAACCTATCTATAAATGGCAGTACAAATGTATTTCTTGTGGCTGGCTTCCTGCTTCACCGTGTTTTAAAGATGTATCTGTGTTTTCCTGAGCAACATTAATTCGTGTTTATCTCAGTACATTATGACCGTGGATAAGTATTTGGATTGTTTCCAGAGAGAGTACAAAGAGGACTGCTGTGGGCATTCCTGTACTTCTACTCTGCACACACAGGCTTGCTTTCTGGAGGACGGGTATCTTGGAATGAAATGACTAAGTCACAGTGTACGCAAAGCTTCAGTTTGTCTAAATGCCTAACTGTTTACCAATGTACTTTGTCCTAATTTATGTGTCTATCAGCAATGTATAAGAACTCTAGTTACATCCTTAGCACTGTTTGGTATCATCAGATCTTTACACATTAGACAACTTGATAGTTATCTAGTGGTACCTCATTCCCTGATTACAAATAAGGTGCGGGTGTCTTTTCATATGTTTATCAGGCATTTGGAGTTTCTCTTTTGATAAATGTCTGTTCAAGTCTTTTGCCTTTATTTTCCCTATTGGTTTGTCCATTAAAAATAATTTTTAGACATTCTTTACATTTTACTTATACAAACCTTTTGTTGATTATATGTGCAGCAAATATCTTCTCCCACTCTGGGTCTTGCCATTTCACTGTCTTAATGGTATCTGTGGTGACCCCCATGATTTCCACATCCTAATCCTCGGAACATGTGATTGTGCATATATAGTTGGCAAAAGGGAATTTGTATATGTGGTTAAATTAAAGATCTTGAGATGTGGGGATTCGCCTGGATTATCTGAGTGGGCCCATTGGCATCACAGGGGTCCTTACAAGAGGAAGGCAGGAAGGTTAGAGTCAGAAAAGAGATATGATTGATGGAATCAGAGGTGAGAGAGAGAGAGAGAGAGAGAGAGAGAGAGAGAGAGAGAGAGAGAGGTGGGAAAGTGCAGGGAGGAGTGGAGAGGAAGAGAGGTTTGTTTTAGGGGGAGACATGGAGTCTCTGAGGTGATACTGATTTCATAGTCCTTAGATACCAGTTTATTTTGCCTATCTGTATAGCAGAGTTTCAAGGCAGAGAAGACACTACATATATAGTCTCTGTCCTCAACGAGCTTACTGTCTACGTGAAGACATAAGATACACACACTAAAATGGATGAACACTAGAAGAGGCCAGAAGAGTCT